TTCGAATATAATTCGGCACATTTGCCAATGTCTCGTTGATGTTTACCGGACCTTGTACTAGTGTTTGGTGGGTCGGATTAAAAAGCCCAGCGAGCCATATCTGTTTGCCCAGGTCTGCCCTAGACAGTGGTCCAGTCCTCTCTTGGATCTCTTTGGGTATACAAATCTGACTTTTCTCTTTAGGACGTATGACTGTTATAAAGGGAACTCAATGTGCTTCACATTAGAGATCATTAATGACATCAGAAAGAGAAAATACAAAAAAATGAAATAATACAAAAGAAGAATGGAATAAGATGGAACAGATATAACAGAAAAGCTCTGAACCCTGATTTAAAAAAATCAAGGCTGGAACAGGCTTCAGTCGTGATGGTAGTTTGCTCCACTTGTGTGCAGCTAAATGTTGCTTAACCATGTTAGCTTTCAACTCTAGCTGGTCTGAGTTTGTAGAGTTCAGAGCTCCACTGGGTTTATGTTCCATTACCATTTATCTCTCTATGTTCTAGACCTCAACCATGAAGTCATATGTTGACCGTTAATATGTTGACTTGTAGAACTTCAGGTGTGTTCTACAGCTGACTGGGAGCTAGTGTTCCTGTCAGTGTGACTTCCATTTGATTCCTGTCTTCTGCTTGTTGTCATCTTGTTTTGTTTCTCGTCTGTGTCGTCTCTGGTTGCGTTTCTGAATCTTTCATCTGTCTCTGTAGACTCAGGTGAAAGACTCTCTCCCCTTTCACACACACACTTGTCGTCATCTGAGCTGCCCTTTATCCATTACACTAATGTGTCTCTTTGTTGTGTGTCCGCAGGGTGATTGTGATGGACAGAGGCTCCATCACGGAGATGGACTCTCCTCAGCAGCTCATCAGCCTTCAGGGCCACTTCTACCAAATGTGTGTTGAGGCTGGACTGATCTGAGATCAGAGATGTTAGGATCAAATGTTGACATCATTTCTTCCACTGTTAGTGTCACTAGACTTCAGTGCCATTTAAACTTACTATGTATGTATGGATTTTATTGGTGTTGTGTCTTTGTTTATTTATACAGCACCCAAAAACATCTTACGGCATACGGTAACTTTATTATTATTACAAATTATCTTCAAATTATACCATAGATACACCAGTTAACTATTTAAAGACTGTGGAAACATTCATAATAGCAAAAATTTAAACACAAAAGTTATTGTTTCTTGAGGTTCTTTTTTTATTATTTCTTTAATTCCACGTATATACTGTATTTCTCTTAAGAAGGATGTCGTTGCGGATATCCGACATTTTATTTTTGACTAGGAAAAACTGAGTTAGAAATATCTGCAATACATATCCAGCTTATCGTTTAAATGTTAAAACGACTTACCATAAGAGTTCCCCCAAACGGAGGAGACGCTGCCGCAGAAACAACACGATGACAGCAAATCGCGTCGTTAAACAAAAAAAAAAGTGTATAGCATGTATAATATTTCATGTTCTAAAAGGAGATATATGTGTCGTGATTTAATAAATAAGTAACACGAACGAATGGGTACATCGTAGAAACATAATCCGTGAGTATGACCGGAAGACGTGACGTAACGTCACGCGACGAACACAACGTAAACAATATGTCTTGATATTAACATAAAAGTCAGCTTTCTGTTAATGTGTTTTTGGACTTAGGTGATATACTTAAATATTTTAAATATATCAAGTTAAAGAAGATTGCTTTAAGACACATTTAAATGACGTAAATGCAACCTGTAAAGCTATACTTGTGGCGCAGACGCGCTGTTTCTTTGGTCTTTTCCGATGTCAGCAGCAGGAAGGAAGTCGGCTACTTCTCCTTATAAAAGGACGGAGAAATGAGAAACACGACGAGTAAACTGTTAAAGGAAAATGACAAGTCAGTACATTTGCCTGCGGAGAGTCTGGAACTGAGTGACTGAATGAAGGAGATGAGTTACGGCGGTAAGACCGAACGTTTTATTAAAAAAAGAATGACCGTTAAAACATCGTTCATGCTAATGCTAATGCTAATTCGGTGTTTCGCGGGCTTATTTCCCCCTATTTGTGGCCTCTACAATTCCGTGTTTGGTAAAGTTATGTTAAAGTTTACCCTAATTTAACGCCCTACGATGCCTCCTAAATGCCCTGCATCTTCCCAGGGTTCTGGTACGAAGCCTAAATAAAACAGTTAGATGTTAACCATAATGGAGAAGGTTAAACATCTCGACCTGTTAAAAGAAGGAACAAATGAGGAATTGGTTGCAAGCGAATACCAGTCTTATATTAAAAAAAACTGTGAACTTTAGTAAGAGGTGTCGCAAAATAAAGTGTCGGTAAAAATAGAAAACTCTTGAATACCGTGGATGTGAATATATTTAATATAAATGTCTTATATTTCCATTCTACAGCTATATTGTGCATATAACTGTGTGGGAAAGGGTAATGCAGATTAGGGAGGGTTGATAACAATGAGGGGGAGGTTAAAGGGTTAATATATACGTAAATAATATAATAATTATCTCGCCTCTACTTCGCAATTTTTCTCATCTCGCGGTCTTTGAATGCAACTACTGCAATAGGAGAGGGATCACTATATTCATTCATTATTAGTTCATTCATTCATTACAATTTCATTACAGTATTAGTATTTTAAGTTCTGTTATCCTGATTTTGATATATATGTGATATATTTTGAATGTTAGTGGTTATTTACCATATTGGGATTATTTAGCCAATGTTCACTGGAACAGGAAAAATGTGAGTTCTTGAATGTTTACTCCTCATGTTGGAACCTTTTGTTTTCTTGAATGTTTAATGTTGTGCAACTCAAACCTATTTAACCTGAATGATGCATCTGAGAATAGACTGTAATATATGTTTCCTTCTCTACAGGTCAAGTTTTTGAAAGGACAGGATCCCAATATGAATTTGATAGCTAGCCATTAACCCTGAAGGAAAAGACGAGGAGATACAGGTAAAAGACAAAATGATAGATACAAATGACAACTACAGTAGTTCATGCAAGAAAGTGAAGAAATTTATTCAAAAATGGACAGTGACTAAAACACATCTGGAGACTTGATGATGACAAATGCAGGTGGAGAGAAAGGCAAGACATTTGAAAGGCACTGGTGTTTTATGGACACGGACCAAAAGTAAGACGTGGTCATGTGACTCTAGATCAAAGTCCAGTTTTAAAGCCTGAAGATATATTTATGGTCAGCTGCAATTTTGTGTTTGGATAGTTAAAGTGGGAAGTGATAGACATCTAAGCAGGTGGTTCACCTGGGCCACTCACTGACACTGCTCTTGTGTCAGGCCTACAACATCGATGTCATAAGGTGCTTTGTGCAAACACGTAGCAGCAGCCAGGACGCACTTGCAATGACCCTTCTGACATGGCATATTATCATCTGAGGAACAGAACAGAAGAACCACATTGGTTAGCAACATGAACAGTGATGTGATCTGAAGTTTCATATTTTCTCCTTCATCAGTACATGTGCTGCACTCACTTTGTTGGTCTCCTCACAAGAAATGAAAGTTTCACAGCACCTACAGGTTGAACACAGCACAGGTTAAAGGCAGCTTTGACACTTTTTCAGTTGTCTCTCAGTACTGAACAGAGTGACTGAATACAGACCTGTCTTGGTCGTCGACGGCCGGCCCAGTGGCTACGAATGACTTCATACAGTAGCAGCCGTAGCCCATGTGTTTAACAGACTCCTGTTTAACTTTATTGAAGATATCAAAGATTGATTCCGTTGACCTAATTTGTAGGTTAGCCTGGGCTAAAGAACAACAGGGTGAAAGGTGAAATTCAGACACTTTTTGATCAACTTTTAAACTTTTCCCGCTCCTTGCACATTAACCAATGAAGCAGCTGATTATATTGTATATTTGTAGCTGTTCTCGTTGGCTGTTTTTGCTTGAACTTTTGGCAAACATGGGTTACTGTTTCAGCCTTGTGTTCTGTCTAACTTTTAGTCAAGTTATGTTGGCTATTGTGGAACTTTTTTAGTCAAGTTATGTTGGCTGTTGTGGATCTTGTCAGACTAACTTTCATAACCTTCAGTTATATTTAAGTAAACATGAGCAGTTTTTTGAGTACAACTTTTAGTTCTGTGCCATATGTTTTGGCAAGTATTTGTTTTATACGTGTAACTTCTTTAATTGTTCTGGATTTTAAGGCAAACAATGGGCTGGTATCATTGTGTCTGACAAAGAAAATCAGTTGCAATTTCATGGCAGTTTTCGAACACAGCTTAAAAAGAGAGGTTTCTCAAACCTGGAACAGACACACTAACTTTCACTTGACTTCCCATAGCGTTATAGCGAGGTCTCTGCTAAGTTTCAGCCATTCTGAACTCAGTTACGCCTTCACAAGAACGACTATAAGTATTGAATGTAAAGACTTTAGAAGGTTTCAGGCCTCAGAAGAAACCCTGATGTACTTACTCAGAGCCAGGCTTGCAGTCAGGAGAATCAGAATGTTCAGGGTCTTCATCTTGAGTGTCAGAATTACAGCACTGCTGCTGGACTCATATACACAACTCAGAGCTCAAGTTCTACTTATACATCAAGCGTCTGGCCCCAGGACTCGCTCTCTTATTATTTCCTCAATTAGGGTTTTGCATGTGTAATAACAAAAGAAGTCTGACATTTGGATTTTGTAGATCCTTCAAAGATTACATTTAAATGTCAGTAGTTACAAACAAATGTGTTTTTGAGGGAGTTTGTTTTATTTAATCCTCCACAGAGAGACAGAATGATATCAGTTTTCTGGGTGAGGACCAAACACTAACCTGCTGCCATTTGGTAAGATTACAAAAGACTAAAAGTTATATCTTGATTTCTTTTTTAGCTGAACGGTGATACTCGCTTTAAAAAACAAACAAAACTCTCATTTATAAGTTTAAGCTACCTTTATTAACAGAGGTCACTCTGCATAATATCAAAATGTTATAAATATCAAACACATTTGTTCTAGAAGCTGTTGTTTTTTCTTTTTTTAAAATTTTAATTCATTTTGATAGTTTGTGTTTGTCACAAATATAAACAGAGTCAAACACATACATTTGGTGTCTAAGGTGGTGTTTAATACAAACATCTCCTAAATAAAATAATGAACACAGATCACACATCAAGGCTTAAAGTAATTGTTCTCATGTCAATCAAGTGGTCATTTTAAATCATGATGTCATACGAGTGCGTCCCACTACAATGTCAGCAAGACTAATCTTAATCACTGCAAATAAATATAGACTGATGTTGACATCTAAAAGGCTGGACTGACCCATACTCAGAGTGTCATTTTGCCATTAGCATGCAAGCTAACAATCTGTAGGTAGCAGACAAAAACAACACAAAATGATATAAAAGACCTTCAGTAGTTTAACCCAGTGTCAGTGTTGCAGAAAAGACTTTGATTGTACGACTTCAATCCATTAAAAAAGAGACCCTTTTATTCTTCAAAACCTCAGGTCAATTCTTTCACTTAACACAGCTAAGGCTTTTCTGCAGCAGCCAGAAGGGAGAAGAGTCAGTAAGAATTTGCATTCTGGGTTTGGAACTGAGAATTACTACGTGACAAAATACCCCAGTGGCAGTTAAGACCGTGCAACAGTTAAAGCATTTAACAACATTTAACTGTAAAATCTTGAACATGTTTACTTTTCTACTTTTGTGGTTTTCTTTTTACTTCTATAATCAAGATTTTAAATATGATCTTCACATTTTAGCCCCACACTCCTGCAGGCCCCGTCTATGACTACCTTTTTACCGTCACTTTGAGTTAATTTGACTATTCTCCACCAACATGTTAAACAACTTTCTCTTGCTTCAGCCAGATACGTTGATGTGCTGCATTGTGATTGGATGATGAGCCACAGATGTTCCTCATAAAGTGACTGTTGAGTGAACATGGGAGGGGGCAGTCCTAGTATTTTTACTGAAATGTTACTTATCTGTTACCGGGTCGCGGGGGCAGCAGTGTCTATGACTGCCACCTAAATCACACTGCACTGCACCAGCCCCTGGTGAACCTTCTTGCTCAGGAGGTGAACCCACCAATGACAGAGACATTGCCCCTGGGCCAAAGCACCACACTGGGCACAATGTGAACAGGAAGAAAAGAGTAAAATATGAACTTGTACAATGTAAATACTACGTATGCTGCAAAGACAACGCTAACTGTAGCCTTTTCAAGATTAACAGTGAGGAAAACTTTTGCAGTGCATTTTTTCTGAACATTCACATTCATGATTTTCAATGATGACAGCAGTTTTACTGGCCATTTACAGAAAGTGCCTTTTGAGTGGGAACGAACCTATGGAGTTTTACCAAAGGGAAGATGGTCACCAGCTACTAGGAATGTAACGATAAACCTAAATGTCACTTCAGCTACACAAGGACCTGACATCTTGGTTTAATGGGGGGGCACATAAGCCCATGATATTTTACCGAAGTGTCGTCTCCTGTCTTGTCAATGTGATTAATGACTACAACGACATCATCTCATAATGTGAACCAGTAGATTTGCACATGGACCCTTTGCTCCAGTAGATTCTACAGTCGGTCATTCACGTCTAATCTGTGCTGTAACAATATCAATGAGGAAGGGATTATCTACAAATTTCCTCCAACACATTCAGAGCTGCTTTGTCACACAAGGTTATGATCTACTGAGAAAAATCGTGGCTGATTTCTAATCCTGGTTTCAGTCTAAGTATCAAATAGGGCGGAGCTAATGTATGTAGCAACGTGCACTCAGTGCACACACTGGGTTGAAGAGTCTTCAGAGCTCTCCACTCAGATGGGTTTGTATAGCAAGGTGGTGACGTACTTCTTCTTGTAGCGGTGTGTGCCGCTCAGCACCATCACGCCATCCTGTGGTAGAAACACACACACACACACAAATTAAAAGAGTTGAAGAGACGTTCTGCTGTTGTTCTTTGGTCCATTGTTGTGTAGTGACGGATTTTATTGGCAAGAATCTGAAATCTACATTTGTAATCGCTAGAGAAGAAATGAAAGCAAAACAAATAATTGACTCTTAATTGTTAATAAACAAATCCGTACAGTGCTATCGAATTTTGATACAGTGTCGTGACCAGAAATATCGTGATATTTTCTTACACCATTAGTATGTAAATACATATTCTGTTGTTAAGTTCAGTAAAGTTCTGGAACAAAATCACAGCTGCTCCTCCCTGTCTCATTACTCTTCCTGCTGCTCCTTTGCAGCACTGCGTTTGCAACAGAAGAGGCCGATGTGGCAGAATATTTTTTTTTCTCTTTCTTTCTCTGAATGTTTAGCTCAACCTGGCGTCATTCAGTCTGTTTTTGACGTACCTTGATGGAAAGAGCGTACAGGTGGTTGAGCATCACGTGGTTGGGTTCAGGAAGTAACGCAGGGTCACACTGGGAGAGAAAAATAAAAGATGAGAAAGAGGGAGAGAGAAAGGATGACAAATGTTGAAGTACAGTAGATGTAGATTTTCTATCTTGAATATAATCTCAGGATTTCTTTATGACTAGTATATTAAGGGATTTTCTATTTTTGGTAAATCTTTGCTCACTTGACTCATTCTTGAATTACTTTTAAAAACACAGAACCTATTAACATTAGCAATTTTAAACAAGAGTCTGATAGGTGACTTTTTAAAACTATAAGACAATCAGAGAAACTTGAAGATTCATATTTTCTCTTAGTTGATTTTATATGTTTAAATATCATGAAAACTTTCAGACGTTGACTGTTTCTGTTTTTTTGCTGACATCACAGCCACTCACAGAAATGCCAGTGTCTTTGTTGAGGATGACCTGCAGCAGATGTGGTGGGAGAATAGGCGGGGACTTGAACTTCTCCTCCTGCTTGGGAGCGTAGGCATCCTGATGGTAAGGACCAGGAGGAGAGCTGGAGAGGTCTGAAAGGTGAAGGTGAGTTCAGGGCCCTTAAAATTCCACCCTTTTTCTTAACATCATTCACATTTAGCTTTGGGGAACCTGAATAGAGAAGTCTGGCACTCACCTGACATGTCTGAGCATTTCTGTGAGTCCACCATCAGAGCATCAAACACCTCGAAGTCTGTTTTTTTCACCTGGATGACATTGTTGACGGTGCCCAGCTGGCTGGTGACAATTGGCTGCAAGGATGGAAATAAAATTTACAGTTACAAATTACTTCCCCAGAATTAAGCTGGGGGAGCCGGTGCGAGTAAAGACGGCCGATAGTTTAAACAGCAAGTGTCTTCAGACCGACATGTAGAGCATCAACGCCATCAGTAAAAGACAGAACAACAGCAGTTCTGCCAGTATCGACAGTGTATAGTCACTGTTTGCTCTGGGATATACTTGACCCAACGTCATGGTGCTGGACTGAGACACTGACTGGAGTTTATTAACTGGAGTTTTTCAAATGTGGAAATAAATGCTGACCTCTGTTGGATCATGCGTCCATTGTCCGTCCACGTAGAACTTGTACTGATGCTCCCCCTCTGGCAGATCCACGATGGCCACAAAAGTGTTCTGGCTTTAAAGGACAACAAACAAACTTGGGTGTCAAACTCCTGGCCTACGGCCTGCTTCTTGCCTGTCACTATATTGAATGAAACAGTCTACATGCACTACCATTAACTCAACAATTAATGTATAGTGTGACAGTCTACATGCACTACCATTAACTCATGTATAGTGTAGTTAAACCCTGATAAAGGACAGAGGACGTGTTGCTGGCAAAGACTACAAAGTGGAAGCTAGATATTTTGACAATATTTTCCCAGAACAGGCGGTGAGTGTCATATAACTGCAGAGAAAGATTGTTTATAGGAAATTGTATCCAAATACAGACGGGTTTGAATCGACTCCAGGCTGTAATATAATGCTGGACGGAGCAACCGCTGTGAATAACTCACCTTCGAATAAGAGGAATCTTGTTGACCCAGTTGTTGAAGGACCCAGAGAGGTAAACCTCCTTGCCATCACCAGTCCAGCGAAAGACTGTGGGTCGGTCTAGGGTCAGCCCTTTGTCCTCTGCTTCTAAGTCTTGCTGCCATGCGAGGAACTCCTCTTTTTCTAACGGAGCCTGTGATTCATCGGAAAACAGAGTTGAGTTTTCATGCAGTACGGAGGTAAAAACCAACAACAGACGCCACGTGACGGCACCGTGACTTACTTTGATATCTTCACTATGAAAAATATCTGCATCTTCGGGACTATCCATGAGAATCTTTGGCCTCTCTCCCTCCTTGATACTCCGGCTGTCTCTCCGCTGAGCCTTCTCCTGGCCCAGCGCAGACCTCTCACTGCTTGTATTCCCCATGGCTCTCTGTTCTTGTAGCCTGAGGCCAGGTCACTGATGAAAAAAATATTAAATAAGTCAGACAGACATTTTCTCATTAAACAAAAACTTTAAAAAATAGGCTTTTAAACGACCTCAGAGAACCAGAACGCACGTTGTTTGACAGATTCTAGTCGACTATTCTAGTCTATTTGAAGTCTATTTTGCAGAAATATTTCAACTGTGCACATTTGTCTGCAGTTGGGAATTAAATGATATGGGAACTGGACTTGCAGACCTGGCAACCTGCAGGGTCACAGCAGCTGGGAATGGTAGGGTGCCAGTAATTCTTTTGAAAAGGATATCTTCTCATTCCTAAAGGATGTCTTTTCTTTGACGTTTCCAGAAAAGCAATAAGTATAGATATAGATGTAAATTCTCAAATTACACTCAGGAAATGTTGGATTTGAGAGGCCTTCAGATTAATGGGTTACACTTTATTTTTGCAAACGATGGTCCGATGATCAAGCGGATATCAATAAATAAAATCAACTGCGTCATTAAAAACAATATCTTTTACATGTAGAAGAGGAATCAACTTCCTTGAATAAAAGTTGTCATTTTGTCAGTGTGGTATAAGAGAATTGCAATAAATAAAAACAATATCTTTTACATGTAGAAGAGGAATCAACTTCCTTGAATTAAAGTTGTCATTTTGTCAGTGTGGCATATTTATTGCAATAAAGACACGTGTAAAAAAAAAAGAAAAGAAAAAGAAAGATTCCCTGCAGTGCATTCTATGTGACATGGTGCATTCAACTGCAGCTGGGAATTAAACGATACGGATACTGGACTTGACAAATATCACCTGGCAACCTGCACGGTCACAGCAGCTGAGGATGGTAGAGTGCCACGAATATAACCTAAAATAACATGTCGTAATCGACAGTAACAAATACACTCGTTAACATCGTCCATGTTTATATAGTAACGTTGTGGTCGCATTGCAGTTTGTTTAGTCACTTCTTAGGTCAGCTGTTAGGCGACCATGAAAACAGGCTAACGGCTATTGGCTTACCTTGAATCCCGGCGGTCACTACTGACACACTGGAGTGAACGGCAGACGACTTTGTCTAAATTAAACCGGGAAAGGGCGACAGTTAACTGACATTTACGAGGCTACTGCTAACGGCAGTAGCAGCTTAGCATCACTTGGTTAAAGTGCTGTGACCTCGAGCAGTTCCGAGCGGCTACAACAACAACAGGAGTGAATCGATGTGGAAAAATTAATTCATACGTATCGGCATTTTCTCATTTTTTTTGTTTAAGTCCTTCTTATCAGTAGTAACTCCTCCTGCTCATATCACCGCACTAATAATAAAAACAAAACCGCCCCTTCCGCTACGAGCATGCGCAGCACGACAAAACGGACTCGAAACATATGTAGCGTTGCCAAATCCGATATTTAGACGCGAGATTTTTGTATAATTGTTATTATTAAATATGCTCATTTTTAAAAAATATATTATTTTTGAACTTGTTCCGAAATTAATTTGAACATTTTAGCTTTATCTTGTTGGCCACGTCCGTCAACACTGGTCTGATAATATAACGTATCATCGACAGTGAGTTCTTGTTCCCTTCGTTGCTGGTTGTTATACTTGGAAAACGTTGCGCTTCTCTATAAACACAGGTAACAATGTCAAAAATGTATACGTAAAAACTGGTTAATTATATTGTGCTAATAATTTGAGACCGCGGATGGTTACTTTTGGGCATGTTCCTTTTTTTTATACTTGATTGTTTTTCTTCTCATTTTCTGGCAACACAGATCCAACCTCAATCCATATATTCCCAGTTTATTACACAATATGAGGATATTATAACATATAAATTCTTAACCTAACTAGTCAACGACCAATCGTGGAGTTTTCACATTTACACACAAACAGGACTAACTTAAATTTCCACTAAAATGTAAGTTACATGTTTTTGTCTCGCGCTGTTAGTGTAATTTTACAAAATAAACACTAGATGGCGTGCTCGTTGTACAAACATTCTGTTAACTTATGTTTTTGCAATTGTAGAAACACTATGGACAGAAGGGGTTTGAACATACAGACATGCACGTTGTTCCAGAAAGTGTTTAAATTTAGACCAAGAAGAAAAAGTCCAGTGCCTTCAATATGAAGGGTACTGTCTGCAAACACACAGGGGCTTCGTCGGCCTCTACAGGTCCAGCTGCCTCATAAATCATTTTCCGCTGCTACAGACGAGTGCACTGGGTTTTTCTGGAAGTCCAATATCACACTCTGTGGAGGGGTGAGATCAGAAGACAAGGCTGTGAGACCTGCAGCGTGAGTCAGACAGCACGGAGTACGGAGAGAGCAGCAGAGGAGACTCATCATCCTGGAGCAGAACAATCATACGTGCCATTGTTTAAAAATAGCTAATATATTGAAATATATGTTAGAGACGGAGCCACGAGAGAGAGAGCTTTATTTGAAGATTAAACAAAACTCAGATAAAACGTTGCTAAGACAAAATATAAAAAACACCAAGAACAATATAAAAAAACAAAGCAGACATATAGCTAAAGGTTAGCCTAATTGACAGCTAAATGTTTTTTTTATTTTTAAATCTCTCCTGTTTCGAGGTTTCTTCTGTGTGAATCAGAGCAGCTGAGACTGGAGCTGCCCTGGTTCTGGTTTTCAGGCGTGACGGTGCTCATTTTTGTTCTCCTTATTGCCCTCAGACTTCTACCCCACGGGGATTATAATCACTTAGCGCCTTCTGCTGCACCTTCTGAGAGAAGCCATGTTCAGCTGCAGCAGCTCCTCCTCCGTGGTGGACAGTAATGAAGTGGATGTTGTTACTGGTCCTGTTCTCCAGTATTATATAAGTCCACGTTAAAAGCTAAAAATAAATGGAATGACCTTTAACTTCACACAGAGGTCAAGTTTTTAAGGTTGTGTTGACGTTGAATGTGATCATTGTCCTCAGTTACGAGTTTGACTGAATCTGTTGGTGTACAATCACAACATCAACTCCCTCACTGCATCTCTCTGTCTCTCTCTCTCTCTCTTACATTACTGTGTACTTTTGTCTCTCTCTCTCTCTCTCATTACTGTGTACTTCTCTCTCTCTCTCTCTCTCTCTTACATTACTGTGTACTTTTCTCCCTCTCTTTTATTTAAGCTCACTCTTTCTTTCTTTTCTGTTTCGCAGCCGTGATCAGAGCAGACGTTTTCTTCAGGAATCGTTTTTTGCCGCGTGACGTCGACCACAGACAGTGGCTGATGAGCTGGAACTGCAGCGATTGTGCAAAAAGCAGGTATAAATAAATAAATTAAATTAAATAAAATTGGCAGCATTAAATAAATAAATAAAATAAAATAAAATTGGCAGCACAAAATAAAAACAACCATAGAAGAAGAAAACAAAAGACAGTCACTCAGTAAAAGCCCAAACGTAAATCTGTATGTGTCGATGTTGAAGTTTCTGAGGTTAAATACGATCCCTCGCTGCTCTGGACTGACCTTTGAGTCTTTAGTTTGATGTTCCCTGGGACTTTCTCCCCTGATGCTGAAACCTTCTTCTCTAAAGTCAGCCTTAATCATTTTAGTTAATTTATTCAGAACAATATTAAAAGACAACACCTTGAAATGAGACCAGTTTAAAGGC